CTTGTTTATTTTAGTCCATAATGGTCACAATTGTGACAGGCTCATCATCGTAGCCACTGGCTAGCTGATAATTCTGGTAACTATTTAGATACAGCCTTTAGACAGCAAAACAACCATTTTATGGCCTAAATTATGCAGCCTATTAGCACACTAAAAATAGTGACATCACTGCAGAAGGTTAATACTTTCTGTGAACTGACAGTCGAGCACTGTCTTCTCCAAGATGGCCTTACCAAGCTGGTAAACTAAACAGTGCACATAAAAATGTCCAAAGAAAAAAAAACAATAATAATTTAAAAAAAATCCTTTTTTTTTAATTTTTATAGACAGGAGTGTAGAATCACATGTCTGGGTATGTTCATGGGCAGGACCCTCCTTACCATCTTGTCTTGATTTGTATTGTATGTTCATGGGCAGGACCCTCCTTACCATCTTGTCTTGATTTGTATTGTAACTGTAATGTCTTTCTTATATTGTAAAGCACTGTACAAACTGTTGGCGCTAGATAAATCCTGAAAAATAATAATAGGGATTTAAAATGAGTATTACCATTTGACACTTATAAGAGCTGATATTGAATTAATTAAAATGAATAAAATCTGAGTCATGAAGCAAGCAAATCCTTAAAGGAGAGCTATGGGGTCAGTGCTTTTCCCCATAGTTCTCCTCAGGGTCACGGGAGAACATAAACTAGCGTCCTCCCGTGATCCAAAGCTCAGTATATCGCGAGCTACATCTAGAGGCAGAGCCAGCTGTACCCGCCCCCTGCAGGGAGCCGTGAGTGACAGTCACGGCTCTCTGCAGGGACAGGATCAAGAAGTGAGCGAGCGACGGTATGTGTTCACTCACTTCCCGCTCTATTGAGCCGACGTGTGACAGTTTAATTGTCACACGTCGGCTCGAACTATGAGGCTGAGTGAAAATCACTCACCTCATAGTTATCCTTTAAGCACCTTTGTAAAGCATACCGCTGTGGTTTATAAATGTTCCTTATTCTACTGTTTTGATAAATATTCCCTCTAGTGTCCCTCGATCTAAAATCCTAGTTCTACCATGGTAAAATTCATACTAAAAGGAGAGGAAAAGATAGTCGAAGGTAAACTAAAACATTTATTCGTGTTTTTCTCCAACACCATCCTTTGCAGCATTAAATAAATTAGCAGGACCTCTTAAAACGGAAAAGGTATTTTTAAAATGTTTGTAAGATAGTAGTTTATCTGGGCCAGCTAATCCATGGCCCTTTAATAATGGCAGTACAGTCTTTGAAACAACATGGGATTCTGGGAGCTGAACATGATGCTTTAATATAGCATTCAACTTCTGTAGCCGTTATGATGTAAAGCTGAGCCAGAATACTTCTTTAAATAGATATAAAACATTGGTATCATTCTGATGTTAACAATAGGGGACAGTCCCCGCAGTATAATGCCATTATTCCATTGTACCTGGGAAGTAATGCTATTCTTTGGTGATTAATAGGGCGTACTCTATTTCCCAGCATGCACTGGAAAAAAGCCCATCTAACAAAGGGAAGTGTATGAAAGGAGAAGCACTCTATCGATGAGAGAACATTCCTGTAAAAAGCATCTTGCCTATTGTGTGCCAGCTTTGGTGTCATTGAAAAGGTTACTTGTCTGCAGAGCATGATTGGAACGGCTCAGAGCTCATTTCACATTGGCCTTAGAATGGCATTGAAAGACAAAGTGATTATACTAACCTCGGGCAAATTGTGGGTATCCACAGCTGTTTAACAGCAAGACTCAGTAAGGCCCTGACAATGCTGTCATGCTAGGAGTTATAGTTCATTTTAAACAGGCCCATGTCTCTACCTGTGTAGTATATGTTTCTTCACTGCTGTTCTTGAGCTTTACTGATTGCTCGTACACAGGAAAGGCTCGGACACTGGAAAGGCTGCCATTTTAAATCTGTGCCTAAAGGTGCCCATACACTGCACGATTCTCGTACGAGAATCGCGGGAAATCCTGCGATCATACGACAATCAGTGTATGGAAGGTGTGCAAAGGCTGGTTTTTATCATGATCGAGAGATAACTGCCGAACGGGCCGGTGTGCGCACGCGCACACTGCCCATTCAGCATTACAGTCATCGGAAGCCCGCCCCCCAAGGCAGCGGGCTTGCGATGATCGCAAGTACGATCTGCCTGTCCAAGATGGGCAGATCGTACATTTGTTATTACTTTACAACCCTCGCAAGACTAAAGTCTTGCAAGGGTTGTAAAGTGTATGGGCACCTTTAGTCAACCGTCCTCTAGGACCCAGTGTATATATCTGAAGATGGACACACACAATACATTTTGATTGCACATTATGTATAATTCCCTTAAAAAACAACTATGTAGTGCAAAGGGCTAGTTAAAATGTTATTAAACCCAATTGATAAAAATTGTGATTACAATACATGTTATCAGGCTCTATTCACCCCAGTGTGTGTTGCGATGTGGTGTAGTGCAACACAGTATGGTGTGGTTAAAAAAAAAAGTACAGCATGACTGCATGGAGTACTTTTTTTCAGAGCAGGCCATTGCCACACAATGGTGTGAATTAACTTGTTAGACAACAAGGCAAATTGTCTTGTCTATGCATTGGGACTGCGCTGGACAAGGCTGCCCAAAGCATCTGATATAAATGACCGCTGAATCTTTTTGTGGACAGATTCTTTATTTCAGCACAGGAACCTTTCTGTTTCTCCTAAATATAACTTCTTTATCTCCTATAGCTCCTCTTATTAGCTGGGTCTCCATTGTAGCTCCCCCAATTGGGATTCACTGGTTTGTGCAGCCTCTCTGTGACGGCAATAAAGTCTATAAAAAATACATAGCTGTAATAAAAATATGCAAGTACTCATGGGGCACACAGACGTAATATAATTATGTGCGCACTCACCAACTGGCAGTTGGGGTAAAAGCTGCGTCTGGTTAAAAGAATGGGGGACATTTGCTAAAGGTGAGAAAGTTTAGAAGTGGAAAAACAAAATAAGGTAATTATGGTACATAGTAAATGGATGTACAAAGAGAGTTCATTTTTACTAGGAGGGTTTAGTGTTTCTATAGGCAAACCTTTTTGTTTTGTTGTTTTTTTTTTCTGTCTATGCCCCATTGGGGAGATTTCCCATAACTTCCTGTCTTGAAGACATAACAGCAAGTAAGAATAAATCTCTCAAAAATTAGGTGAATTCCCCTGGAACAAGTGTATGCATTGGAATATTGCCCATGTCTTCCGGTTCTGGTGACATCTGTAAAATTTTGGATCACCCATTATTTTCTATCCCAGTGACAATGGTCACCAGGACAAAGCAAGAACCGATCTCCCCAGTAGAGACCCAGACAGAAATATAAACCTGGTAGGAGTTCTAAGTGTTCTCTACTCTATCCAAAACTAAAGAAAAAGTATGAGTGTATACTTTAAATTTATAGCAATTCAAGTAGGCCATCACACTACATATTTGTAATACATAGGAAGTTGATACAATACAATCATATTGTAATATGTGTGATCGCAGAATGGCTGCATTCACCACACCTAGATGAGTTTTTGATGCATATCTAAACCCAAAACCAAAACTGTTCTTTAGTTCAGACACTCTTTGGTTCTGTAACTCCATTCTCTGACAAATCAGATATTGTAACAGTGATAGTATTACCTATCTCAGTCTATAATGCTTGTACATGTGCTTACTTAATAAGGCATCTACTATAAACCATGCAACCCATAAGAATTAATCTTTCACAGACCTATTTCTTTGGGATGCTAAACTTGGCACAGCACCACTGTTCCTTGTACTGTAACCCCAAATTTTAGCTTAACATGAATCTTGAGGAGGTTGTAGACACACCTTTGTCCATTTGTCACCTAAGAAGACAGTCTGTCTCCAGTTCTGGCATAGCCACTCGCCATATTTGAACATTGTCCTGGATACTTCAAGTGCATGTACTAGTGTAAGTAATCTAGATATGTAATAAATACTGATTACAAAATTGCTGTTTTCCACACCTGCCTCACGGTGTGAAATCTGCACAGAATAGGGGTTGGACTTTAAAGGAGCCCAATGTAAGTTTGGTGCTTTACCTGTGGCCAAAGTAACCACCTGTTTGCTTTTGTTTTTTTGGCTGACTCACCAGCAGGCTCAGTCTGTATATTTTCACAAAGGGATGATGAAGAGGACTATAGGGAAGCCCACGTGTGCCTTTGAGGCTAGGGACTATGTTGTAAGTGAATCGGTGATAGGCTGGCAGCCGGCTCCTGCATATACTAAAACCATTCAGTAGATTGCACTGCACTGCTCCCATCTACTGATGACAATTCATTGGTCAGAGCAGAGGCGCTGGACTCTATTCTAGGAGGTCTTTTAAGAGCCAGCATGCACTAAGGTTCAGAGAAGGGAACCGCAATATATGTTCTTTTGGGTGTCGGGGAGAGTCAAGTGGGTCTTAGTCAGTTGAAGGCATCTCAACCAACATGCACTCCTGAACTCTCTATAAATGTGTATGTATGTATGTATGTATATATATATAATGTGTGTAAATATATATTATTTTTTTTATGCTGGCAAATAGGAATGCATGTTGATGTATTCAGCACACATGCTTATTAGTACCAGATGTATTTTTGGGTAAACCGTAACAATTGGCTGGGAAAATCCAAATCCACCAGTCAACTTTTAACATTGAATATGAACAGCCAAGGGTGCTTGTTGAGACTTAAATATTTCCATGGACAGTGACCATGTAAATAGGTATGTTGCCTATGATGCCTTCATGATGGGGATTATTTAGGGCCTTTGTGGATCAGTCCGCAAGCTTTTTTCCCCCAAAAAATGCTACAAAAAGTGCTTTGACAAGGTGTACTATTCCACCTCTTTGTGCCCGTCCAGAATCATATTACCAAGCAATATTAGGCAACAC